GTTGAAAATTAGGCTTGGGGTTGATTAATGATTGTGCATTGAGTCCCCTATACAGAATTTTATTGTTGTTAACAACAATTTGATCAATAAATATGAGAGATGCCCTCTCAAAAAAAAAATAAATAAAAAAAAAATAAAAAATGTGTCTTGTTCCTAATCATGCTTTTTTAATCTTTCCCCCCCAGCCAACAAAGATGAGGAAGATGGAGAAGAAAAGAAATCTGTGCAAAAGAAAAAAGAATTAAAGGTGTTGAATTCAAAGACGGCCCAGCATCTCTGTGAGTCACTGCGTAATCCCAGCTAGTTGGAATGTGCAGTGGTTCTTCCGAGAGCTGCTTCTGGTGGATCCAGGGCCCTTTGCCGGGAGACTGCTGTTTGTTGGGTTCCTGTCACATGCCGGACATTGCAGAGGTAATCTCTGATGCCTTGCCCGATCCCTTCAGCAGCAGTGTGAGATTGTTAGTATGTATCATTATGGCAAGAAAATAGAAGCTAAGACTTTGAGAAATTTGCCTGGTCACAGCTAGTAAGAGACAGGTCTGGGATTTGAACCATGGGTTTTCTTATTTCAAAGACCTTACTGTTTCTAACCACTGTACATTCCCTTCTTTCTCACTTTAAGTATTTCCATTAAATGCAGGCACTGGCTTGACTTCAGTTAAACCTAAAAACTTTGTGGTTTAGAATAAATAATGTAGTCCTGTACTTCTCAAAGAAGAATCAGTAACTGCAGAGTTCTGTTCTAAATTTGCTATACTCATAACTCTGATTGGTGGCAAAATTTCAGATCAAAAACTGTCTACAAAGTTTACATATGTAGTACTTATTTGATGATCAGGATGAATGTTCATTTTTTTGTTCATTTCAACTGTGATCTCCCTACTTTATGCTGAGTAATATAGGTTTAAATATTTGTTCAACAGGTATTTGAAGGTCTGCCATGTTGAACTCTGTCAAGAACATAGAGGCACGTGTGCCAGGGATGAAAGGGTATATATTCCATAAAACCCATTCACAATCCTGAGGTGGGGTTATTGTCCCCATTTTTCCAAATGAGAAAACTGGAGTTTAGATGGGACTTGGTGACGGTCACATAAGTAATGAGTATATAGAGCTGGAGGTAAATCAGTGAGAACAATAAGCCTTTACATTATTTGCGGCTTTATAATCTTAACTCATTGACAGCAAATATTACTAAGTAGTATCTGTGGGTAAATCCTTTTATGGAGACTAAAGTAATGTGAGATAGTTCCTCTTCTCAAGATTATCTCTGGAACATAAAGCATGAGTGTTAGAAAATGACAACAAGATGGGGGGGGGTGTTTAGTACATTGTTATTTCCAATTGAGTGATACTGATATGGAAAATGGAATGCAGAAAAAAATTGAGGTTAGGAGATGTAATTTAGTGATTCAAAAATTAGGTGCCTCTTACATGCTACAGGTAGAAAGCTTTGTGTAAGACTAGTTTCTGTGCTCATGAACCATATGTTTGGTGGAGACAGAAAAGTAAATCATGATAATAGCATGTTGCTAAGTGTTGTGATGGAGGTCTGCCTGGGGAAGGGGCTTCTCAATTTGTGGGGATGGTATTGGAGCGAGCACCCTGGGTGTCCTTCTAAAGGAGATATTGCTTACACTGAGTTGAAAGAGCTAAACAGTGAATTAAGTGAAGGGTGAGGGATGGCTTGTTTCAGACAAAGGGATCAGCATATGTGAAGGTGCAGAGGCATGAGACAACACTGTGCAGGGTGAGAACAACCAGTAGCTGAGTCCAGCTGAGTAACAGCCTCATGCAGGGTAGTGGTGAAGGAGAAGCTTCCAAGACACAGATGGACTCCAGATCATAATTCTGGTGGCTTAGGCTAAGAGGTACATGTTTATCCTGAAATCTGTCAGAGTTACTGAGGGAATTTTCATCAGGAAAGAGTGATACGACCCTATGTAATTTTTTGGAAGGCTGCTTCAGCAATGATTGTGAGGCTGGTTGCTAGGGTAGTGGAAGACTGTAGGCGGAGAGGATGAGTATGTTACTGCTTTACATTAGGTGGGAGGGAGGCGGTCAGGGCCTGACACTGAAGTAGTGAGAATGAATAGGAGGGCAGAATGCATAAAGAAGATAGAATTAAGGACACTCAGTGATAGGTTGAGGAAATAAAGGAGGTGTTTTCTTGGGTTTAGATCACGGTAGAGTGGTGCCATTTACTGAAACAGGAAAATTCAGCAGGAGCAGATTGAGAGGTGGTAGGATGATGGGTAGAAATGACTGATTTTAGGACAGAATTTAGGAGACCTGTGGGACTTCTCCAAAAGGTCGGGTATATTAGGCATTTGGGTGTAGAAATCAGGGGAAGGTCTGGCTGGAGTTAGGAATTTAGGAGATAGCATATGAGTCGTAGATGAAGCTATAAGTTCACTTGCAAGTCAACTAATATTTAAGAAGCAAGAAAAAAGCGGTGGTGGCCGGGGGGAGATGTCAAAGGAGGTTAGAAAGGAGCAGCAGGAAAAATAGCGTGACGTAGTCCCTAGAAGTGGGAGGAGGCAGCAGTGTCCAGCAAAGACAGGGGCCCAGTAAAATCAGGAGAGGCGTCCTTTGGGTGTGGCCTTAGGAAAGCCCATAGCCTAAGCGAGGATAATTTCAGTTGAGCATAGAAGATAAGAACAGAGGCTCTGGAATCCATTGTTATTTAAATCCTGCTTCTAACTCTTAACTAGCACCGTGACCTTGGATGGGTAGCTTACCTTCCTTAAGTATTAGTTTCCTTTTCTGACACATGGGGCTAATAATACAAACTCACAGGGATACTGTGAATAGAGTGAAATCAGGTCATGCCTTAGATTGTGTTCAAGGTGCTGCGTCGCACACGAAGTGCACACTCAGCAAGTACTTGCCATCTTTTCATTGACTGGGGACAGTGAGCTGTGGCAATGGAAGAGAATGGGCTGTTGTATTTTTAGTATATTATAAAGTGAAAGAAGGAAGGAAGTTGCTAATGGAGAAATACTGAGGCAGGATTTTCTTTTTAAGATAGGAGAAACTTGATGTATATATGCTGAAGGAGAAGGTTTTTAGGGCTCCCTGTTCCACTGGAACATGAGGAAAGGAGGAGGGCGTGGGGATAGTTGTTGATAAGCTTATAGAGGTTTCGGCACAAGTTTGCTTCTAGATGATTCCAAAATAGTCATTACCCAAGTCATTTCTAGTCTGGCCGCTAATGGTCAGTTTGTAAGTGGCATAAGAGAAAGCTTAGCAAGTAATTGAATAATGCTTTCAGTTTTTCTCAGCAAAGAGGAGCAAGATCTTACAACAAATGGGGAAGTGGTGAAACAGTTGACAGAATGGGGGTATTTGGAGGAGCTTCCAAGAGGGCCAGAAGAGTGTGGACTAGGGACACAGACAAGTACTGCTTGGAGCATGAAGCCCCAGCTGTCAGTGGTGCCAGGACAGGTCCACGGATCCTGATCTGCGGAGTTTGGACCAGCTGTGTTCATCAGCCCAGGTGTACAAGTAGAGGACTGAGATGGCTAGATTAACCCGGGACTAGGAGGAGAAGGAAACAAGCATGGGAATAGTGTCACTAGAAACAGAGTAGTAATAGAGGAACCAATGTGGCAGGCTCTAGGGGTGAGGTTAGAGAGAGAAGGCAGAGGGAAACCAAGACGTTCAGAGAAAGTGGAATGATCAGCAGTCTTGCCAGAGAGCACGTTCTGCTGAGGTTCAGGAGCCACTGTAGAGATTAGTGAGTGGGTTTAAGAATCAGAGCACTTCAAGGCAGTGACATCTCTGAGGATGGGGTCATGCGAGTGAAGAACTAAAATAGAGTGGGGTGAGTGTCTTTGATGTGTATAGATGGAGATGATGAAAGGCTTCCTGTGTGAGCAAAGGCAAGGAGTAGTGTCTGTAGAACGTGGTGCTTGGAGCAGTGTAGCTGGTGTGTGACACAGTCCTGGGGCTCAATGATAGAGAAAGCTGCGAGGTGGGAGCCTGAAACACAGACACAGGAGCTTGGATTTAACTATGGAGGCAGCGAGGAGCTGGTGGAGGTTTCTGATACTGATGTTAAAAGAACACTTGCAGAAAAATTGTCAAGCAGAGGTTTGTATGATAGGCTGGAAGGGGGAAGAGACTGGGAAGAACATGCTTTATGTCTCGTTTTCTGGCAGCAATCTTTCTGGGTTCCTGTCGCTTGCCCTATGAAGAGATTAAGAATGTCATCCTGGAGGTGAATGAGGCTGTTCTGACTGAGTCTATGGTCCAGATAAGCAGCCAGGTCATGGCGCTTGGGCTGGCTTTCCACCACTAAATGCTGGGCATCAGTGCCTCTGCTCAGAGGAGGAGGATCTGGCACTGACGACCTAACTAATGCTAGCTTAGGATAAGCTTCCTTCTCTCTGGCGGTCATGTTATTTCTGGTACATTTTTCAAAAGTCCTGCCATCCCACGAGCTGCCTCTCCCCTGCATCCCCACTGCTAGCCCATGTCTCCTTCTAAGTGGTCCTTGGACAGAGGGAGGGCCTGACAGGAGGCTCATCGTCCTCAAACTGAGACAGCCCCTCTTGCTTTCAGAACCTCATTAAGCTGATGCTGGAGCCAGAGCATCTGAAAATGCTTTCTGAACTGAGAGACGAGTATGACAGCCTGGCCGAGGCAGAGCAGTTCGGGATGGTGGTGAGTGAGGCCGTGGCGGTGAGCTCTTCTCTGACTCCCTGGCTTCCCTCCTCCCTGATGGTGGCCAGGGCACTTGCTCCACTTTGAACCTGTCTTTCTCTGTCTCTGTTCCCCTCCTCTGGAGCTCAGATCCTCTCAGAGGAGGCCCTGGCCTGTCTTTTTCATACTTCTCTCTCTCTGGGGGTTGTGGTGGAACTCCTTGTCTCCCCCACCAGGGCACTGTGCCCTGCCTGAGGCCTCACCTCAACACCATCCTCTTCAAGCTGCAGTTCAGTGAGCAGGTGGAGAACATCAAGCCGGAGATTGTTTCTGTGACAGCTGCATGTGAGGAGCTGAGAAAGAGTGAGAACTTCTCCAGCCTCCTGGAGCTGACCCTGCTCGTGGGGAATTACATGAACGCTGACTCCAGGAATGCGGGTGCTTTTAGCTTCAATATTAGCTTCCTCAGTAAGGTGAGCTGGGGCCTAGCACGGGAGGACCGCAGGGAAAGCTCTGGCCTCTGCCAGTCCGACGTGGCAAACCAGTTAGCCTGAGTGATCCTGTGCACGTCAGGACCAGCAAGTCCTCTTCTTCCCCAAGCTTCGAGACACCAAGTCCACAGATCAGAAGATGACACTGTTGCACTTCCTGGCTGAGTCGTGTGAGAATGACTACCCTGATGTCCTCAAGTTTCCAGATGAGCTTGCCATGTGGAGAAAGCCGGCCGAGGTGAGGCAGGTTGGGGTGAGGCTAGAAGGTTGTTCTGAGCCCCAGAAATCTCTGCTTGTGGAGGGAAATGCGACACAGTCTGGATTTTAGATCATTTCCCGTTCAGACTATTTTAGGTGAGAGTAGGAGAGGGTCTAAGCCACGAGGAAGGAGTATCAGGCAGAAGAGAGGTCTCTGTATAGTGGAAGCACCCTTTCTCTTCCTAGGGAAATGCCAAATACCAAAACACAGCTAGAAGGGAGGCAGGTGTTTGCAGTCTAGGCCAACGGGTTTTCTCATTCAGAAAGCATAGACAGAATGAGCAAAAATCAGGCCTCACCGTCCTGGAACCAGGCCAAGTCAGAGCAGCACTCCAGAGAGGCAGGAACAGGTTTTTCCCAGCCTCTGTGTTTCTGCGTATGTCTCGTTCCTCCCAAACCTTGTTCTCTGAAATGAGACCAGGGCCCCAGGGGATTTCATAGATTCCTGTTAACTTAAATGAAGCCCCTCGGGTACTGTTCAGCTTGTGGAGGCTGGACGGTCAGTCATCCAGTGATTTATAGTTGTCCTGGGCAGATGGATATGTCAGTGTGGGGAACACACAGAGGAGGGTGCCTCAGAGAACAACAGTGATTAAGTACCCGATGTGTGAGTGGACTAAAGCTCTGCGCCGAAGGGTGGAGGCTGGGGGTCTTGAGACTGGGTTTAGTAAGCTCTTGCTGTCTGTTCTTATGTTTCCCTTAGTTTCTGCTGAAAACTTGCAAAAGAACCTATGTCAGATGAAAAAACAAATTTCTGATGTGGAGCGTGATGTTCAGAATTTCCCAACTGCCATGGATGAGAAAGACAAGTTTGTTGAAAAAATGACTATATCCTTTCTTAAAAGGAGGGAATTGCTGCTTAGGAAGGGAAAGTAAACTTCCCATGGAGGACAGCAGGATAGACCTGGTGATATACAATTTTTCCCCCTGTAAAACATTTTTTTCATTAATTCTTGAAAAAGTTCTTGAAAAGCATTCCCACTGTTGTGGCAGGGGAAGGACATCAAACAGGTAAATTTAACCCCCACCCCTCACGATTCCTTCTCTTCTGCCCCACTTTGACACCACACACACACACACACACACACACGCACACACACACGCACACACACCACACACACACCGTATCCCCCACTCCCTCCTCATCCTGTAGGTAGCCACTGCCAGTGGACTTCTTTATGATTTATACCTTGTGAATTTATTTTAAGCAAAAATCGCACTGTGTGGCTTTGTGTACATAGGTCTTGGCCCTTTTCCATGATGCTGCGTGCACAGCATCCTCTTTTTAGTTGCCATCTCCTATTCTATGGATGTACCAGAGTTTATGGTTTGCCATTCCCCATTTTGGATATTCAGATTGTCCTGGCTGTCACCATCATAAAGAGTGCCATGTGGAGCACCCTGTGCCCGCTAGTGCGCATCTTCTGAGTGTTCCACTGGGCTGGAGAAATGGGTCTGCTCCTCAGTCATGGTCCTTCACTCGTCATCTGAACAGCTTTGTGAAGGATGCCCAGGAGCAGTATGACAAGCTGCGGATGATGCACACTCACATGGAGACCCTCTATAAAGAGCTGGGCCAGTACTTCCTCTTTGACCCTAAGAAGGTGTCTGTGGAGGAATTCTTCATGGATCTGCACAACTTCAGGAATATGTTTGTAGTGAGCAAGGGACACCTGCCGGCTGGACCTTTTGTGGACCTTTCTCACTTTGTACTGGATCCATGATGGTGGTGGACGTGCACATGTGTGAGTGCATACATGCCCACGTGTTCTTTTTTTTCTCTCCACAGCAAGCACTCAAGGAGAACCAGAAGTGGCGGGAGATAGATGAAAAAATGCAATGAGCAAAACTAGCCAAGGAGAAGGCCAAGAAGGAGCAGCTGCAGAAACAGTGGAAGAGAGAGCAGCTCACAGACATGAATACAGGTGAGAAGCGAAGGAGAAGGGCTGATGGGCTGTGTCAGGAGTGTTTGGAAGGCTTCTCATCAGGAACCTCGGCGCAAGAGAGAACAGCTCATGTCTGAGCTCATCTCCTGGCAAATGATTGTTGGGTTGACAGCCTTCTACCTCCAAGACCCCGATGCTGAACTTTAAACTCCACCTCAGTTACCATGCATTCCACTTTTCCATGCTCAAATCTGTTTCTCTCCTCTGCTGCTTCGGGAGAAGCTGGGGTTCCAAAAAGCAGAGAATCAATCAAGAATAACTGAGCCTTGAATTTGACTTTTTGAGGCAGTCAGTCTTTCCATAAAACTATGAATAAAGGAGAAATTTCTTTATTACATTAGAATTTATGGAAATACATAAACAAAATAAAATGGTCTGTATTGAAACTACTCTTGAAATATTAAACTTTGTGGTGCTTAAAATCAATAAAAAAAAGCTGAACAGTGAAAGAAATCAAGTAAATAGGTGAATATGATGAAATAGGCTCTATTTTGAGGTTCTAGTGTTAGAATTTCTACCCTTAAAGTTGTAGATCTGAGAAATATTCTGCTGCTTATATCCCTAATATTTGGACTATTATTTGAGAGAAAATAAGAGCTCATACCACAGATTATCTTACTGTGTTCCAATAGTGTGGCTCTTCTGCTTCAGCTTATCAGTTTTATAAAATGATTTTTCTATACCATATTATTTCTACTATATGTATGTATGTCTGTGTGTGTATACATATTTTTTTTCTAAACCATGCAATTTCTTTAATCTGATAAAGCAATTCCATAATGGATTTCAATTGTGATTGAAGATTGTACAGAATTGGCTTTTGATTTCACCTGTGGCCTTAAAATAATCCTAAATCTCTAGTGTTTAATCTCTTCCAATCTAGGTTTAAGTTATTTGAGAGCAGAAAGATTTGGACTTAGAAGAAATCATTAAAAAATCATAAATTTTGGAGCAACTGCATTTAGTAACAGGAATATTTAGTACAGGAAATGGAAGTCATATTTACTGAGAGTTTTCTGTGTACTACATTCTCTGGCAAGTCCTTTTCACAAATTTTCTTACTAGGATAATATTTTGTGTGGCATGGTGTTCTCATTTACATTATCCTTAGAAAGGTCAAATGATTTACTGTCATCACAAATTTGTAATTGGTTGATCACTGAAGTTGACCACTGGAAGAGGCAGCTTACAGGAGCAAACCAAAGAGTCATTTCTGATTTTTTTAAAAATTCCTTGTGATGTAAAATCAAAATCACTGGGTATTTTTTATTTGTTTTGTTGCTGCTGTGTTTTATACCTTTGTGGATTTGGGTCATTAGCCTTAGGGGAAAATTGCCATCCCCAAAATATCTTATTCTATTTAGATTTGAAAATATTTTTCTTGCAGTATTTCTATAATTTTAATTTTCATTAATGTGGTTCCAGCAAACATATACAGTATGGTTAGACTTTTATCATTATAATTTTCTTAATTTGAAAAAGTCTTAATAATTGTCTATGCATCTACTTCATCACTTAACTATTATATCAACTTAAAATATATATTTTTTGTGGTGTCAGGTTTGACCTCTTCTATTAGAAGCTCAATGTATGTATGGGCATCACCGTTGCTCTAAAACGATGACAGTCCTAAATCATGCAAACCTTGGAATAAGCTTCTTTATGAAGAAACTGCTGGTTTTCTCCTACTGGATGATTCGTAAGAGTTGTGTGATTCTTGATGCTTTGTTGAGTCTCCTATGATGAACTCCTTCTCTGTCCAAGCCATCATTTTCCCACCAGCAAGGGAGCTGGTGGCCTATTCCATTTGTAGTGTTTTTAATATTATCCATTTTTCCTCCCAGTCACTTGCACACATAGTGCCTGGAATCACATCTTTTTAGTTTCTGCAGAAAGGAAGCATCTGATTTTCTGTTGCCTGGGCATGTAAGGCAGTGGATCCATCCTGGTGGTTTAGAGCGGGGACCACAGGTGCGACTTCATGGGCTGAGAGTCCCGCTCTGCCGTCCATCGCCTGCTCATCTGGGGATGAAACTGCTGCTTCACTGATTTATTTGTTTTGAGGGTTAAATCAATTCACCCATGTAATGATCTAGAACAAGTTAATACCCAGTGAGTTTTGCTCTAACAGTAGATGGCTCTATGTTGATAGTCTAGACATGGGAAAAAGGTGAGCTTTTCTACGCACAGATGTTCTGACCATCCTCCTGTTTCCCATCCCCTTCCTCATCCCCACCCTCACTGTGTTCAGTGCCGCCACTCTTGACCCTGTCCCTCATACCAAGTTCCTCTATGTAAAGTCCTGAATTGTTAATAGCTCCAATAAGCTAAGCCAGTCACAGTCCTCCACGAGCTTCTTATCTTGCCAAAGTGTGTTGATTTTTTTTTCCACTAGTGGTCTCTTTTCTCTCAGTTTTTACAATTTCATATTTTTTTCATTTTTTCAATAAATTTAGAGAAGCCTTAACGGGAACAGGAAAAAAGCTTGTATGTTCAATCTAACATAATTAATGCTGAATGGCTAACCATCTACTATTGTTATTTTGAGTTTCTTATAATTATGTGTTAAGTTGTATCACATTGTTTTAATTTGCAATTCAAAGATTATTAGAAAGTTGAAGATTTCATATAATACATATATATGTATGTATATATACTTATATATAAAGAAAAATATATGTATGTATATTCTTGTATGAGTTATTTGTCCCTAGGCATTATCAGATTACTATTTAGGGTTTGACACTCTCATACACCTGAATGTATGAACTCTTATAATTCTGTTGTAATACCTCCTTCCTGAACATACTCTTCAAATTTGTAGGAAGAGATGAGGATGGTCAGCTGAATATAGTCTGCTAAGTCTGCATGAATAATGTAAATTAATATAATTCCATTTTTATCCTTTCTTTCCTTCTCTAATCATCCACCTGAACTGCCAGAATTTTAGTGTTGATTTCATACATCTCAGAGGTCCTGCTTGATGGACCCTTCTGTTTAATGCTATTTCATATACATTTGCACTCTACATATCCTTTAATGAAATGTTACTATTACATTAAATCAGGATGGTTGTAATAACTCTTACATAAATTAATTTACAATAATATATTCATTATGGTTATTTACCATTTTATTAGAACAAAGACATTAAAATATTAAGCCTAAGGCATGACTAATGCTTGATATCCCAAGCAGGATCTCATGATGTTGGCATAATATTTGAATGTGTAATTGAATAACGGTGTTCAATCATGTCTCTTTATTCTGCTAAAACCACAGATCCTGGATTCTGTGTGTCTCAGACACTCACTGTTTAGCATTGGGTAAATTATATTTCTTCTCTGTGCTTTAGCTTCTTTATCTCTAAAATGGAGGTAACATCATAAGCAAGCTATTAATATTAAAATGAGCTAATATTCATGAGACCCTTTGAAGAGCTTCTAGTGGAGAATAAACACTACACAAGTAATAACTGTTATTAATTTATTCATTTTGTAAAACTTCAAAGTTATCTAATTCTGCCCTAGCTAAAGTTAGAGTTGCAGGTCTAAGTATCCGAACATGTGGAGTTACTTCCAGGGCCTCGTGCCTGGGTTTCCTCTTTTGTCTTCCAAGTGGTTCTGAACAGACAATTGGAGATATTTAAATGTGTACTAAGCCATTGGAAACAGAAAAGAATGAAAAGTTGCCAGTATTTGGACTGAATACCCAGCGATATTTGTTTTTCCCATTAAAAGGGATTTTTCAGTAAACATGAGATTCCCATTAACAGCCTCATTAGCAGTGATTAATGGCAAATGAATTTTCGTCTAACCACCACCACCATAATTTCCATTTCCAAGGAAACAGACAAATGCAGTGATGGAATTATATTCTAAGCAACATCTATTCTATGCTAGAATAATACAGCCACAGGATAAACCTGCATTTTCTTACAGGTAGTGAGAGCTGATTATTTTTTATGTTCACTGAGTATTAAGGAAATAGTGATATATAAGAAAGTTCCCTTTCTCCCCTGTAGTTTACATTACAGAAGACAAAGGAACAGAATAACCATATAAAATGAATTTTAAAAATCAGATAGAACTAAGTTATATGTGGGAATTTAAAAAAAAAATAGGATGATGTATTAGATGGGGACTGGACAGTTCCTTTATACTGTTAGTTCAAAAGTTCTCTTCTAAGATGTCACTTCAGTTGATGTCTAAAATTAATACAGTCAGATGTAAAATTTAAAATGTTCTCTATTACATTAATTAGGGAAAAATTTAGACTTTTTCTCTGTGAATCTCTTTATTCCCAGGGAAAATAAATAAGTAAATTTAGTTAAAATTCATTTGCTTTCAACTGTATTCATTGTGAGTCTGAGCTACATAAATGAAATAGATTATTTCTTTCTTCAAAGAGTAAATCCACGCAAGGCCCTGCCCGCCCTCTGTGAGGTGGTCAGCTAGTGGATGAGAGCTTGATGTGTTTCCTGCTCCTGTTCAGTCAAAGTTTCTCTTCACCTGATCAGTTCTTCCACTCCTCATCCACACATGGAAAGGAGCCTGGGAATATTGCAAGCTCTATTCTGGACAGGTATTTATCCATTAAGCCAAGAGAAAGGAAGTGAAAGGATATGATTATATAATAATGGCGGCCACACTTGCCTGAATATTAAAGACACTTTGATCATTTTTGTACAATTCTGATGCCCAGGCTGTACTTTAGAGCAATTAAATTAAAATTATGGGGAGTAGGTTCCAGACTCCAGGTTTTCATGATTTATTAGGTGATTCTAATATGAAGCCAGCACTAACAACCATTCTCTAGTCTAGAAAACTCTATCCAAAAGTTTTATGACATGTGTTCATAGTTCCACTAAATGTCCTTTTCTGTATAGAAAGAACATCATGACAGAATTTGTGAATGCCACTGACATATAACATGTGTCCAAAAGATGTTTATAAAAGCCAAAAAGGTGGACACAATCCAAATGTCCATTAACTGGTGAATAGATAAACAATGTGTTACAGCCATACGATGGATTATTATTTGACAATAAATAGAATGAATTACTGAGTATGCTATA